GCGGGGTCGCCCCTGCGGCGCACGGCGGGCAGGAGACCCCAGCGGGGCGCGGGGACGAGCTCGCGCCCGGGACGCGGCGCGGTGGGGGAGGGGCGCGCCGCCCTGGTAATTCTATATTCTCCGTTCCTCCTCCGCTCGCGGGCGTGTGCGCGCCGTAGGCTGGCGGTAAGGCTGGGAAAGACTCCGGAAAGGCCAAGACAAAGGCGGTTTCCCGCTCGCAGAGAGCCGGCTTGCAGGTCAGTAGTAGTTCGTGCAGTCTGGGAATCGTGGCGGGTTTTTTTCGTACCTCCTTTCTTGTTTATTATTTCTCTAGATGGGCGTTTCGTCTTTGCGTGGGTGATGCGGTGTCGCGACTTGGGCTGCGGATACGATAAATATGGGGGGGTGATCACGTGTGTCGATACCGGGGCGCGTTGCCGCGCCAGCTTCCGTGCTCCTTGCCTTGGCGCGCGTATAATTTCCCCATTTTTGACTCATATCTTTGTGTATATGTTTGTGTGTGCTTGAAATTAAGTTCCCGGTGGGCCGTATTCATCGACACCTGAAATCTAGGACAACGAGTCATGGACGTGTGGGAGCGACTGCCGCTGTGTACAGCGCAGCCATCCTGGAGTACCTCACCGCAGAGGTAAATGGGTGTACGCCTATAATCTGGAAAAGGTTGGGGGGCGGGCGGAGGAGGCGGCGGGAGGGAAGGAGGAAAGTGATGCAAGAAAACTCTCAGGCCCTGAGTGCGGCCAGAAGCTTAAGAGAACGCTAGAGGGAGCCAGTGTTCAATAAGGCATCCTACTGAGCTTGAGTTTGCAGCTCTTGGAAATCTAATTGCGTGCCTCCTGTATAGCTTTTGCATATCTTGCCTTCCAGGTTGTGGGGGATGACGACAGTTGGTAGATTTACATTTATGAAGGTTTGATTCTGTTTAGATCTTGGCCGAGGGAAAGTTGGAAGGAGATTGATTAGATTCTGCCTTCTAGGTACTTGAACTGGCAGGAAATGCGTCAAAGGACTTGAAGGTAAAGCGTATTACCCCTCGTCACTTGCAACTTGCTATTCGTGGTGATGAAGAATTGGACTCTCTCATCAAGGCTACAATTGCTGGTGGAGGTATGTAACTACTAAAATTTTAAATTTTTTGTGGGGAAGTATTCTTTGCTTTTTAAGTTCGTTAGTCGTTTTTAGTCTAGAAGAGGACATTTAAGCATTTAGGCAGTATGGTTGTATTATGAAATTTGACTCTTGTATAACTCAAATGAATTTTTACTTCATATTTTGTGTTTCATGTTTTAAAATATATCTTCCAAGTTGAACAGTAAACTCTTGGTTTTCAAGTAGTGTGTGATTTTTAAAATATGTATTTTGAAAAGTGGAATTAATCCCTGTCACTCTCTTAGGTGTCATTCCACACATCCATAAATCTCTGATTGGGAAGAAAGGACAACAGAAGACTGTGTAAAGGATGCCTGGATTCCTCACTATCTCAGGACTCTAAATACTCTAACAGCTGTCCAGTGTTGGTGATTCCAGTGGACTGTATCTCTGTGAAAAACACAATTTTGCCTTTTTGTAATTCTATTTGAGCAAGTTGGAAGTTTAATTAGCTCTCCAGCCAACCAAATTTCTGCATTCAAGTCTTAACCATATTTAAGTGTTACTGTGGCTTCAAAGAAGCTATTGATTCTGAAGTAGTGGGTTTTGATTGAGTTGACTGTTTTTAAAAAACTGTTTGGATTTTAATTGTGATGCAGAAGTTATAGTAACAAACATTTGGTTTTGTACAGACATTATTTCCACTCTGGTGGATAAGCTCAATAAAGGTCATATCCCAAACTATTGTTGTGTTTTAAATTTGCTTCATTGTAATAGGAACTTGTTTCTTTTGAATATCTCATCCAGCAATAGCTGAGCACATTTCTTACTTTGAAATTAAACTTAATTTGTATGTCAACAAAGATAGCCCAACTATAGTTTACTTAAATGTTATATACTGAGCTATTAAAAGATTTTAAAACTTTGGCAGGAGCTGGAGTGGAATAGGTACTGTTTCTTAGGCTAAGTTTGCCCATCTTAGTTTGTACATTGGCTCTGTTTGCTGTATGTAACAGTACTACACAAGTACACTATTACTGTTGTGGGTTTGGGGAGGGAGAAGGCAGAAAGGGAAGTCCTGTATATACCTGTCTCCACAGAATGAACTTTCAAATTTGACTTTGAAAAAGGTAGTGCTATCTGTGTTTGAAGTCTGAAATTGTTAAATACTCAGTAACATCTTTGGGGATGTACTGTCCCCATCTTGTGGAAGAGAATCAAGATTTCTTTGAAAGTTCCGAGTTCCCATAGTTGTTAGCATGGCTCATAATAACTCAATATTATGTAAGGATCTTGTGGTTGGGTTGAGTGGATCATTTTGATGCTTGGTTTTTGGCAAGTTCTTAGTTTTAAAAAATATAGATGTGGACATTACCAAACATTAAGTGGTTATCGTTCCCCTCTCTCCCCCGAGGAGACCAAGATGACAGTTATTTGCTTGAGGTAACGTTATAAAAATGGGAAAAGGAAAAATCCAAAAGTAGTAGAATACTGTTATGGTATGCTGAAAGGGCTGTCTCCTTCCTGGCTTTGGCCATACAGAATCACAGCTCCTTTTCACCAGAGTACAGTGGTTGCTGCCGACTACAAGTTAAACTGCTTTGTACCTGTTTTTGGATAGCCTGAGAGACATCTGGGTCAGAAAAGCGTGCAGCTGAAATCGCAATAAAATAAACCCTGGGGTTAGGGTCAAACTACGGCTCTAACGTGTTCCAGAAGCGCCGAGTTTGGGTTGACACCGCGCTCCTCACCTGACAGGAGCCGCCCAAGGCTGACGGGCCCAGAGGCGGGGCCTCTGATCCTTGGGAATTTTCCTGAAGACAGGTGCCCCCTCCCCCCGTCCTGTGGCCCTGGCCACGCGGAAGGCGGGCCTCCGTCTGCGCGGACCGCGGCGGGAGGTCAGGGGGCACCGCACTTCCGACGTCGCGGCCGAGGCCCCCC